CTTCAGAATGCGCGAGCGCGCGCGCGGGGGTACCCATCTGCGATAGCCTTAGAGGGCTGCGCTTACACTCATAGAATCTGGGGTTACAATACGTAACCAACGGTCTTAACAATTTGCTACTGTAGCTAGCTTGTGCTACAGTTTGTTTATAATAGTTGTTTTTAATCAGCAATTTGCCCTTTTTAAAGCTAGGTTTGTTTGACTTTTGTGGGTGGGGATTGAAGGAACTGGAGGCAGGAAGCACCTATATTTATAAAACATAAATATTAATTTTAGTCAACTCGAGACAGGAATGTGCATGCTGCACAAAATTTGAAGTCAATAAGTAATGTTTACATGTTCAGAATAATTTTACTATTACCATTACTCTTTTAAATTGTTTCACAAGACAATCTCCGCCAAGCTCCGCCCACACATCAACTCCACCAATCACATTTAGGACAAATTCTGCCCACACAACAAGGAACTCCCCCTATGTGCTGCAGGAACCCCTACTTGCCACCGGAAGTGCTACTGAAAGCCAGCCTCAACTTCAAACACCAATGTTTGTTGTGCTCTCGACCATCGAAACTCGAGTATTGTATTAAGCTTGCGAGGTGCCTTTCAAAATAAAAGGTGCTGCGTCACATCAGTTTCAAATATGGGCATAGGAACTGGGAGCGTGTTCCCTTCAATACCAGAGACAGGCGCAATTGTCCCACATCTTGGAGGAAGAAATTACATCTTTAACTCGTGTGCTTTTACTTTGAAGATGCAACACAGCGTTATGTTGGGTTAGGTCTGATTAGGTTGTCGGCTGCAACATAACACCCCACTAGAGTTCTGTATATTTATCTGGTGAAATGCTTCTCCAAAGTGACCAAAAAGGGGATTTTTTTTCTTGTTTAGTTTAATTTAGCTTTCTTTCCTCTCTTTCTAATCTGTACTCCCATACTCTATGACCTGTAGCATTTCTGGCACTGTCATTTGTGTCTGGAGTGAACTTTTGATACTGTCCTACTGGCTAAATATTACATTAGCATGAACTCAAAACTCTTTAAATACATTAGACAACAATTATTGGACTCTAAGCAGTCCATTGCGGTATGAATATTGCACACACTGATATTGTGATGACGATATATTGTGCAGCCCTATAAAAGACTCAGGACATTTTGTTGGGTGGTTTTCCCACAACACTATTCTTCCAAGAATATAAATTAAAAAAAAAATGTATTCATTGTTGAGTTTATTGACTAAACAAAACTTATTATCCAAAGACCTGTCTCTATTCGGGTCTGATGTGTTTTATTCATTTCATTCTTTGGTGCAGCTTTTATTTTGAAAGCACCTCACAAATGTAACTCAGAGCCTAACCGTATAAATATATTTACATGGCTCTGGTGTATCATAATACTCGGTGGTCAAAAGTACATCAACCAGTGTTTTTTTAAAACGGAAGCTGGCTTTACCCCAATCCAAAAACAGTGGAAGCTGCCGTTGCGGATATGCTGGCACCCTGTGGCACTTCCGGCGGCTCATTAGGTTTCAGCTAAGGCAGTGTTTTCCAAAGTTGGGGTCAGGACCCAAAGTGGGGTCCCGAAACATCAAGATGGGGTCCTGAAAAGATTTTCTGAATTAATTACATTTTTGCCTTAGTTGTTACAAAGGAGTGAGGTTAGTGTATTTAAAATGGAGAAATGTAGTATAAAAATATTGTTACTATGTCCATGTTTAGTTGACCTGACACAAATGTTTATCATCCAAAAATAGTTGGGGGCACAGGTCTCTGCTGCTGTTATTTTGTGGGTCAAAAGCTGAAAAGTTTGGGTCATGAAGCACCTTGGATAATCTCCAGAAATCAATTTAAAGGGTAATAAAATAATTGCAGATGTAATATTTCCCTATAATTATTACAAAAACACAAAATAAGTGAAAACAAGTATTTATATTTGTGTACAAGCTGTTTAGACTGTCAAAAAGCCTGTGTTTTTAGGGTTTTTAATGAAGTTTGTGTACTCAGACCAGTGATATTTGGGGTCACAAGTTTTTGCCATGAATATTTTGTGGGTCAGAAGACAAAATGTTTGGGAACCACTGAGCTAAGGGACCTCCCCTGAAACCCAAGTCTCCCCCGCTTTTCTGGTGCCCGTTTATTACAGCGCTTACGGTAACGCTGTCTCTTCAGTCCCGCTGGTAAAGAGAAGGAGTACACTGCCAAGCAGGGGAGCTACAATGCACTAGGTAATCATAAGCAAATTCAAGTGTATATCAACATTTTTACAACGCTTTTCCACTTTTGTTCAACACTACTCATACAAACCAAGAGTATCACCAACCTTTAAACAAATTTAATGCGTGGATCAAAAGAAATTACACTTGGAATGCAAAGAAATACTCTGCAGCAGCAGCAGCAGCTTATATGCAAATTCAAGTGTATATCAACATTTCCCAAAGCTTTTTCACTTTTGTTCAACACTACTCATATAAAGTGTTGAACAAAAGTGAAAAAGCGTTGGGAAAATGTTGATATACACTTGAATTTGCATATAAGCAGCTGATGCAGTGTATTCGCATCTGTTTGCCAGCGGAACTGGAGACAGCGTGTTACCGTAAGAGCTGTAATAAACGGGCACCAGGAAAGCGGTAATAAACGGGCACCAGGAAAGCGGGGGTGACTCAGGTTTCTGAATCAGGGGAGTGATTCAGCTGACCATTTGATACATTTACCCAGCAAGATGTAGTTTAAAACATCGATTCGAAAATGACACAGAAGAGGAAAAACAGGAAACACAATAAAAGGTATAAAATAATAATTCTACCTGCTCCTGCTGAGACAGCGACAATTGTTCCTAAAACACAAACACACACAAAAACATTATTTCACTTAAAAGCCAATTTGATCATCAATAAATTGTTAATTTAACACCAGAAAATATTTACTCACCAAGTGCCATGATCTTTGTTAGGGCGTCTGTCTGAGAGGACGACGGTGATGATAATAAATAGGCTTGTGAGGATGACGAAGAGAAACTTCACTGTGCTGCTTTCAATGTACCTCGGAAATTAAAACGTTCACTCCTGCTCGACTCAAATTAAGATTAAAAACAGTCAAAATAGCTAAATAATCTAGATAATAATTTTAGTGATAGAAAGTTAAACTAAGTGGTAAGGTTTCAAAGTATGTCATGTTGCTGCTCCAATTTAACAAGTCTATCTTTTTTTTATACTTCATTTAAGTTTCGTTTCTTCATAAAGAAAACCTATAAACACTTTGAACAGCAGGGGGCGACAGAGAGGCTGCAGAGGGACAATAAATGAAAGAGCCCAAGCCATAAAAAGGGCATTTTATTTTAGTTTTTAAGGAATAAAGCTTTATTAAAAGTTTCTTAACAGGTAGTTCTTTGCTACCATCGACTGCACTAAAAGTCTCTGAAAAATTAAAGCTGATCAGTTTTTATTTGTTTTAGGTTGGCAACCTTTTGTTTAGGGGGTTAGAGTTTAATCTTCTGCCATCAAGAACAACCAGAATGAACCAGCTTAGTTCAAAAAGTAATAAAACCCTAAACTCAAACTGTCAGTGCAATATTAGTTTTATGATTATTTTTTCTACTCGTTTCAGTTTATTTGCAATTTGGATGAGAAGAAACTAGTAAGGACATGTTTTAATTTATTTTACAGCTGAACATTACATTTAAACCTCTCAGTAAAAATACAAAAGGCTGTTGAAGCATTTTATTTTGATAAATTACCTGAAACATGACACATATATCTCGCCAATGAATGAACTTTCAAACATGAACAGCTTGACCTCATTTTTGAATTGGAAATATTTTTGAACTTGCTCATTATGTTTTATTGGCTTGGTTTGTTTTCATTTTTTGTTTGTTTTATTGCTCAGCAAAATGTGAACCACAACCATTTCCGCTACAGCTACAGTCAGAAGTGGGCGTGTCACAAGGAAAGGCGATTCTAAAGCGACACACCTGATTTGACGGACTTTGTTAAAGGGACACACCTGACTGGACAAGCAAAAAAAGAGGCGTTACTGTACGGCACAACTTTTTCTGGAGAACCCTACTTGGGTCACATTTCTCCTGGTTAACCTTAGTGTTGGGGTCAGGGTCAGGCTGTAAAGAGATCAAGCAGGATCTAAGGATACCGTCATGCAGGCCTCGTAGCCCACAGTGTTTGTGCTTTTTGACACGCCCACTCTTGTGACACGCCCACTTTGATTCCGCAGATAACCCCTTCTCAGCGTTTGACTCATGGGAGTAATTTCCTATGAAACAGAAACAGAAACGGAAACAGAAACCGAAAGTCACAACTACGGTTCTATGAATCCCGGATGACGGTGCTTCAAGCACAGAATCTTACCTTGGGTTTAAATAACAAGCTTGTTATTATTAGTCTCTGTAGAACGAGCTGCTGTTCATAATGTTAGAAGGTGTATAAAGTACTTGAAACAAATAAAGTAAAAGTAAAAAAAAAAAAAAAATACATTAACCGAAATGATTTTGGTGAAGATGAATTTCACTGATAAGAAAAATATTTATATAAAAGTCAAAACTCACAATAAATGGGAAAGCAGAAGTACTTTTACGCACACTCAAATAAATAACGTGATGAATTTACTTAACCAAACTCCACTAAACTGAGTCGAGTAAACAGCTCTACATTTGTCCTGATGCATCTCCGTAGTCCAGGTAAAAAATCAAAAGAAAAAAAATTGTATAGGTCTTCTGTAATGAAACGTTTCGTCTCTCCTCCAAATCTGAGAGTTTCAGGCAAAATTCAGGCTTTTAAGCACTGCCTCCATGTGACTATACTCACGGTTCATACGGTTATTCAGTATGTTGCGGGTGTTTCGGAGAAACTGAGACGTTTATTTTCCAAACATGATGTCCCAGTAGCTTTCAAACCCCAAAACACATTACGGCAAAGGCTGGTTCACCCCAAAGATCCGGTGCCCCGGCACAAACAGAGCAATGTTGTATATGCTGTTAAGTGCCAGGAGGACTGCGACCAGTTATACATCGGGGAAACAAAGCAGCCACTGTTCAAAAGAATGTCCCAACACAGACGAGCTGCATCTAATGGCCAGAACTCTGCAGTTTTCACTCATTTACAGGCCAGCGGTCACTCTTTCAGAGATGAGGATGTTCTCATTCTTGATAGAGAGGAACGGTGGTTTGAGAGAGGAGTAAAAGAAGCCATTTTTGTGAAGAAAGACCGTCCATCATTAAACAGAGGTGGAGGCCTCCGTTTTCAGTTGTCCCCCTCCCACAGTGCGGCCATTGCCAGTATCACTCCACCCCTGTTAACAATAAGTGTTAATTAGGTGTCAACGATAGCCATGTGATGTGAGTATCAGTCACACAGAGGCAGGGCTTAAAAGCCTGAATTTTGCCTGAAACTCTCAGACTGAAGAAGTCTCTTGGAGAGATGAAACGTTTCATTAGAGAAGAAYCCGTCCAGAAGACCTATACAATTTTTTTCTTTTTGAGCTTTACATTTATTCAGCCATAGTGGATCTAGTGGACACAACTTGGTTACAAGTATGCTGGGATGGGCGCTGTCATCTGTTTGTAACCAAACAATCTCCAGTGTGGAACTTGCTCAAAATTATAACCACACGTAGTTTTAAACTGATGATGCCAAAATAAAACTACATGTAAAATGAAACAGTTGTTTATGATTTATTTGTTGAAACGTTTTGATGTTGAGTTTTAAACAGCCTGGAGTCACTGCTTCTCCTAAAAAAAGAAAAAAAAAGTGTAACAGTTTTAAATCTAATCCATCTAATGGGAGTTCAGCAACCAATGATCAAGAACATTTGTTGGATATAAGTAAAATACTGCTGGATATTAATTTTTAGAAGATMAGTTTATTTATAGACAGGAAAGAGACTAATGTGTGATGAGAATGACAGGGAGAGTTATCAAGGCCTCACCCTCCTGTTTGGAAAACATTTTTAAGGTGAGCGCCTTTCTATGCAAACAGTGTTTCATCTCAACTCTCTCAATTCAATCTGCCATCTCAGGAAAATATATTACTCAGTTAAGTTAAGAACAAAACTGACAGTGACACTTTGATGATACAGTAGTGTGCATTGCCAATGCAATGCACACTATTGTTTTCCTGTTTCTCTTTATTATTCAACTTATTCCGTCTTCTTCCACGTCGCCACGCTACATCTCCTGCATACTTTGTCCTACAGCTGCCATTGTAATTTCTGTCTGTAAAGGTCCTGTGCCAAATGATTGCTTTGTCTTCTGGTGCCTGTACAACTTGTAGTTTTTGAAATATTAATGTTTAAACTTTATTCCAAAATTCATATAATGAGAGTCAATGGGGCCTTGTAATGGTACAATACTGCCCCATGCTGGACTCAACTTGGTACTGCTCCATACTTTAATAATATTTCATCTCAAATGTTCAGTGTTTATTATACTAATATGTTTGTATTTTGATGTTTTACTATAATATTGTCTTAATACTGCTCTATTGTTGTAATATTATGCAGTTTAGTGTCAATAATTGTATTGGCAATGTGGCCTCTTTCTGCACACATACAAACCAACCCCTGCCACCACCTTCTGCCACAACTCCACTGGTCTAATGGTCTATGTCATGGACTTTCATGTGGGAGATCAGGGTTCAAAACCCAGTTAATACAACTTTAAGAAAAAATCTCTTCAAACTTCATATTGTCACACAATTACCTTAGTTCTAAACACTTGCTGACGTGACAGGCACAAGCTAGTATAGAAAACACAGTTGAACTTGGTCAAAGTTCATTCTGCAAGTCCAGTGCTGCTGCAATGCCATGCTACGTGGCAATGCACACTTGTTTTTACATCGTAAAAACCCATGTACAGTTGTTTTTTGTATTTTGCATTACGATTATTAAAGATGTTCATGAGTGTAAAAATGTGTTTTTCTGATTAGTTTTCTTGTTCAGGTTAGTTAGTTGTTCAAGTTTAAGTTTGTGTTATTGGTCAAAAATTGACACCATGAGTGAGAGGTACTTCCTGGTGTGTGAAGGTCGACCCTGTGCTGTTTGCTGACCACTTGGAGAGTTGATTTCAACTTTGAGCAAGAATACAATCTGCACTGTTGCCTTCAGTGTGAAACTTACATTGACCATGAATGTTAGGCTACTAAATTCAGACTGCGTTGAAAATCAAAATAATAAATATTAGCACATTAAGCTAAGAAAATAACACAATTTTAGTGTTAAAAATGCACTTTAATGCATCATAAAATGACCTGGTTACTCTTTGAAGTGTCACTCTATATACATTTTATCAACTATAAAATATTAACACTTAAATGTGTAAATAATACTCTTTAGAGAGTAATTTACACTGCTGTGTTAATTCCAAATAACACTATCTGTGTTAAAAAAAGTTACTCAATTTAGAATGAATTTAACGTTGGATTTTCAACTCTTGTGAGAGTAAATTTAACACCAATTCTGATTGGGACCAAATACACTGAAACAGTGTCAAATTTAACTCTATTAGTGTTGATTTAACACTGTAAATGATCTTAACCATTCTGGTTACTCCTCAGGAGAAACTCTTCTTCAGTTCTGCCTCCGTTCATTTTGTCAAAACCGTCCCCAAACCATAAAGCTTTCTTTTGACCTTAACTGACCAAAATGAACCCTAATCTGTTTGGGTACAGATCTCTTTTATTAAATGAGTTACTACATCTGATTTCCCTCTGGGATCAATAAAGTATTTTTGAACTGAATTGAAATCACATTTATTCTATTATATCTGCACGTGCAGACATTTCCAAGACAAAAAAAGGTTTTTATATCTTCTGCTCTACTCGTCCCAGATAAATGCAAATGGTGCCACATTTTATTGTGTTTTTGTGACCAAAAATGTTTTCTAAACCAAAAATGGTTTACCCTTTGTTTTTGTTTTTTTGTGTGTGYGCGTGTTTGGATTAACAAAAACAAGAATGATCAAGTTGTGTTTTATTAAGCACTGCAAGTTTTTTATTTTCTATTTTGTTCATGTCTGGTTAGAAAACAAAGTTCAACAAAAACACATATTTCCTCTTGTACACACAGGAGCAAAATTCAAAACACGATTTCTTTTTCAGACTAGTCACACTCCTAAAACACTTAAAAAAATTAAATAGACCAATAATTTTCAAATTTCAGATAGTTATTTTTATTTGACAAATAATTCATGGGGGCATTAAGCGTCAAATAAATCGTGTTTACAAAAAAGGCAGACATATAGGTGTAAAAATACACTTATTTTGCTGCATCGTAGCAAAACCGTCCATTAAAACATATAACACAGTAATCCACTAATTTTGAGTCAATAAATGAGCTGATATAACAGGAGGGATCTGTGGTGGGCTTTATAATAAATCACCAGAAGTTAAATTTACACACCTTGAAAAGGAGCAAGTAATCTTCTGAGCCTAAGTTTAAAGCAAACTCATATGTTGTTTTCATTAAAGTCCATATTTAAAACTTTTAAAGCTCAGATACAGAATCTTAGTGTTATTGTGCCCTCTGTTTCCTCTGTCTGCTGTTTAAGTAAACACACGATGCAAATGCCAGAGCGGCTATCTCCCACATCAGCTTTTCCTCCTCTCTTCTTTTTCTCTCTCTTTCTTCCCAGCAGACTTTTGCCAACCATCCAGCAACAGCTACAACACTGGCTGCAGCTGCAAAGGCAGTCGCTAATGGACCGTGGTCATTCACCCAAACATACAACATAACCGGCACAAGAGACGCTGCCACCAAGAAAACGTTTTTTYTCTCTTCCTCCCTTCTTTTTCTCTCCTCTTCCTCCTGGAAGAGACTTGTCACACTTCCAGCTCCAATGATGCCTCCAACGCAGGCCACAGCAGCGTTGGCAGTCCCTGACAGACCAGCAGCACCTGCAGGAAAAACGCCACAATCAACAGGTTTGACCAAGGTGGACAATACAACAAGAGTTCAATTAAAATACCTGCCGACTGCAGAATAGACACCAGACTTCCTGCAGCCACTCCTCCTCCRTTAGCCGTGGCAGCAGCAGACATCATGCTGGCAGCGTAGGACCCAGCAGTGATCCCAGCTGAGGTGAAACCGACAGCTCCGAGCAACCAAGGAGCAGCCATCACCGCCCCCACTCCTCCTATGACTGATAAGATAAGATAAGATAAGATAAGATAAGATAAGATAAGATAAGATAAGATAAGATAAGATAAGACAAGATAAGCCTTTATTATCATTGCACAGAGCACAATGAAATTACAGTTCAGAACATCCATTCACAAGAAGACAGAACATCAACATGTTTCTGTTATTTGATTTATTTTTGTTTACATTCTGTTTCAGTTTCTCTTACATATTATTCTTTAACTTCGTCCCAAGTTTTACATGTGGTAAAAAATGAAAAGTTTCCTTGAATCCTTCATTTCTTTTTAAAAACACTTCATCCAATTAGCAGAACATTCCAGGGGCCTCAGTATGCAGGAAGAGAGATGTGATCTAATAATATCTAATAAATTTGATAAATGTTTTAAATTATTATAAAATCAAATCTGTTTAATTTAATTATTTCTGAATAGTGAGTAAAAGTTTAAAAAAATTCTAAAAGTTGATGTCTACACATTTTGTAGCAGTTTGTGGGTTTACAAGATGCGGTCCCTGAGCCATGGCATGGAAAAGTTTGGGAATCCCTGGCCTTTACAGCTACAAAAAAAACCAAACCCTAATCCTACAGTTTAGGCTGGATCTGGGTGTTTTTGATCAAACTTATAAGTGTTTGCAAACCTGCTGGATATGTTTAACCATTATGGTCAGTTAAAATATCAAATAAGTGAGCTCATGCTATGTTTGCATCTAAAGCAGACAAATGTGTTTAGTATCTTTGCAAAAAAAAGTCTGCAGCTGACTTTCTGATATTTGAAAAAGAATCTGAAATACCTGCTCCTCCTGAAACGGCAAGAGTTCTTCCTGCAGGAAAACAACAAAAACAGCTGATAAACACAGCAGGAAGCAGCAAAAACTCACCTCCATCGCAACAATATCAAATGGTGCAAACTTAAGCAGCTTCGGAGCAGGTTGGGTTTCAAGATCAACATGAGAAAAAGCAGCTGACAGACCATTAAAAGGTGTTGTGTTATGTTTTCTTTCCTCCTGTTTCCCATCAGAGTTAAAAAGTCTCAAATTCAACTGAGAAGCATCTTTCTGAAAATTGTTTAAACAGTACAAAACAGAAATTTATCTTTGTGAATTTCTAAACAATAAAATCAATAACTATATATA